TAATAACAAAGTATATGACGATCTACATCATGATTCTATGTTGCTGATTAAACGAAATCTTATTTTAATGACATCTGACAGATATAGCCATGAGTTTGTGCTAAGCGTATGACGATCTGACCTGACAGAACACCCGTTCTTTGTTCTTGTAATGCTCTGCATACACTGCAGTAGCTATTATTTTATTTAATTATATATGTTGATATTTTTTTTAATAAATAACTAAAACACAAGAACGAAAGAGCATGCACATTGCTCTTTGATTGTTTTCGTTCAAAGTGGAAGCTGTAATGTGTGCCATTGTGTCAGACTGCCTGGCTTTATGTAGCGGGAGAGAGGGTGAGAACAGTCACAATGAGCGTCTTGTGCTTGGTTACTTTTTGCTTGTTGCTCCTTGGTCAGTGTTCATAGCTGAGCGTTATTTACCATACGGGCATTGCCTCAATTGCTATGTTTAATGGTGCAGACAGTTGGTTTTGACAGTTTTTACTAGAGTTGACAACTTTTCATGACATTTGGCGGTGTTTTATTGTCTGTTTTTAGTTGTTTTTTTTCACTTTTATATCACAAGTGAGCCTGTTTTTTTATCATCTAGAGTCGGTAAGTTTAGGTTAACTCTTTATTTTATTGATTTCATTTTTGTTGGACCACAAGCGTCCACCAACCATGGACCAATGAGAATCAATCAACATGATGTACAGTTTGCTCTAATAAACCGTAGCACTTCTCATGGTGACTCAATCACTCTATGATCAAATAAATAAGAGCGGTTGAGTCTCACATTCATTATTTACATGATAATATTGCAGAAACAATGTTATTTTTGCCTATGTGTCAAAACCTGAAACTACTGAATCAAAAATATAGAAATAATGTTTTTCAAACAAACATTTTTTAGCTGCTTTTAGACGTTTTTAAATTTAGAACTACTTCTCATCATTCACAGTTTTTCTGATCTGTTATCTGCCTCCACCCACCTGAGATCTTATTTTAATTCTGTCACTAATTTTCAAACATAAGGAGGAACGGTAAAAAATAACCGACCACTTGGTTGTGACGCACTTGAAACTAAATGATGTTTTCACACAAAACAACTTTATTTATGTATATACTACTTTTGAATCTGTTATTGATGCATTTAATTTTTCATCATTTTCACTTGAATATCTACAAAAACAACAAACATTTGAAAACATGAATTTCCTTTTAAATGTTTTCTTGTTAGTTTATGCACATCACACTGAGCTTGTTGCAGACTTGACTTATTTTAACCTGACTTCTCACCAGTTTACAGGAAAAGTCCCTGCGGTTTGTAGCAGAAACAAAGTTCACAGTGATGTCAGTGTTAGTAAATTAAGATATTATGATTTCAGTCTAACATAGACTCTGTTTCCTGCTCTTCTCTTTATCTACAGAAGCTGCGTTTGCATCGTGTCACTTCACTGAAGAAACGTTTGACTGAAGCAGAAAAGCTGCCTGGAAGCCAAGATGGAGAAAACCTTGGATCCTTTGCTGGGCTTATTGTGTAAGTAAATCACTTTCTGTGTTTCAATGGTGGAAAATCAAGGAAAATAATATTTTATTTTCACAGGAAGTACAAAAATGAGCTCACTCACTAACTCACATTTCAATGTTCTATTTTGAATTGCAAGTCGAAAAAATTTGGCTGAATTTGATGTAAATCTGGGAATATTTTGTTGTCAGTGTCAAGTTTCTGACGTGCAGTTTAAACTCATCAGACAGAAAAAAATATCTATATGAATGAATAATATGGATCTAAATAAAAATAATGGATTTGTTAAGTTAGTGCTAAATGTGAGTGTGTGACAAAATTCTGCTGTTTAATTTTATGTTATTTAAGGTTTATAATGTTAACAAGGTTTCAACCTTTATTTCAGTGCTGACCTCACTCTTCTGCTGTGGACAAGCTCAGGGTAACGTCACTTTTAATGTTTATTTTAAAGATTTATTCTCTCAACAACAGCCTCAGCACAGGCGGGGATGTGGAGGGGGAGGGGAATGAGTGCAAGTGCCTCTTTTTGAGTGCTTTTTTTTTTTTTTTACATATGTTTTAACTGTGCATCAGGAGACCTGCTTGTGCCCCCTCACAATAGTATTAAGCTAAAAATAACAATTTAGTAAAATAAATGAGTCTGGCTGCCCTTGGTTTAATAATAAAGCTGAACAGATTCTCAGTGCCTCTGCCTCCATTGGGCCCAAAATAAGGAGGAGGGGAGCAGAACATCAGCTTGTAAGTCAGATTATGGGCAAGAATATATTTTTTTCAAACACTTGTTTGTGACTAAAAATGTAGGTCTGATGTTGAAGTTAGACAAACAGTTTCTATTTATTTTTGTAATTCTCCTGTAACAGCAGGAAATAAACCCTCCTCGCCTGTGAAGAGGGCCAGCAGCTACTGAGTTTTCTTTGCCTTGATATATCTCAGTTTTACAATTCTAGATCTCAGAGGTGCTAACTTCAAAAAATTATGTAGAGTTAATTCCTCTGAGCTTTTCTGATCTTTAAAGCAGTCTGCAGCCAAGTTGCTATGGATGTTAAACATAGCAGCAAATATTAATAACCAGCTAATAACCAAATATTATTAGGTTTTATTTAGTAAAATAGCAGCAAATGTTCTTCTTTCATAACATATTTCATAAGCAGCGACCTTCTCTCCTATGGTCTGATTAAAAAACTACAGTTACAGATCAGCTCATCCCTCCAGCTCTGTCAGCAGCAGAAACATCAACATTATAATTATTAGGGAAACAAAGACTATATTTGCTTTCCTTTGTCCCTACATGAAAATAATATAGTATGATTAGAATAAATATGAAATTCTTGATTAATATTTAATGTTGATTAATATTTACTGTTGCTATGTTGTATGGAGTTTTAAGATCTTGTTCATCTGAGCCCCCGTCCCTCCAAAGGTCTCTGCACGGCCCTGCTCGGCTTCATTCCTGTATTTCACATCATACTGTGTTTTTATTCTTTTTCTTTTGTTGTGTTTTATCAGTTATCGTTAACCTAGAAAATAAATGAACTAAATGTTGGTTCTGTTGTAGATGCTGTGCTGACTACTGAGCCCAACTGGTCAACGTTTTATTCTGGAGAGTTTGTTACCTTTAGATGTGACATGAATGAAGGAGAAAACTCTGACTGGGAATACAAGCTGAACAAGAATAATGAATCATATCTGTCCATCAAGAAAGATAAAAACAACACATTCACATTTCTTCTTCATAGTGGTGAATATCAGTGCTGTGGTCACAAGAGGAGTTCAGATGAAACAAAGTGCAGTAATACTGTTACTGTCTCAGGTATGCCTAAAATATTTTAGATCACATTTTAACCCGAAACAACAGAGGATAACTTTCACAAAATATATCCATATTTTTACTCTACTTTATTTCACATATTATATATATATATTTATTTATATGTATGTATGTATATA